CTGCCAATTGCACAGAGTTGGCATCGTGTCATTGCTAGCTTATTATGGATAGGTCCCAATGGCTCAGTGGTGGGATTCAATTTTTTTACTACCATTTCTGTGGGTGTGGCTTTGTGGCCATGGCTTTGTAGGCGTGGCAGGGGAAGGATACTGCAAAATCCACATTCCCTTCCTAACTGCTTTCCAGCTCCATTGTCCTGTTCAGGGCAACAAAAGAAGATCAGCTGGGAGGCTGGGAAGCAGTAGGGGGGAAGCGGACACAACCTATTTGCCAATTCTCTGAACAACTCAAATTTCCACTACTAGTTCTCTAAAACCTATCAGAACTGACTGAATACCACATCTGCTCCCTGAAATCATCCAGCAAATTGGTCGACAATCCCATTTATTGTCCAGAAATTCTCAACAGCAGAAATTAGAGATGATAGTAACACCACCACTCCTGTTTTCCCTCCCCTTTCAAATTGAACAAAAATGGTGGAAGCCAGGGAGGCTGAAGAATTTCGGAGGAAGGATGGTATCGGGAAAGACAAGTTTACACTCCCTATTTGCCATGGAACTAATTTGTGTGCTTCCAGAGTACTCCCAGTGATGAATTCACACCCATCACCACAATTTCTCTTCAAAGGACTTTCAAAAGCAAATTTATTTCATCAAACGAAATGAAGATTGACAGAAATGAAGCAGAATTTCTCTGCCCAGCATGGTATCTGTGTACTTCGTAACAGTGTCAAAGATATTTGCATTTTAGATCCCTGTGAACATTAGACAAGATCCATTTGCTGACAGATCTATTGTCAGCTCCTCTTTGAATTCCTTTTGGCAAGGAAACTTAGACCTGAAGAATAAGAGTGGTAGAAAAGGTATACACTATTTAGCAAGGTATCCATAGAAGAAATAAATAAGAAAAAAAAAAACCTGAGGAATTATTTACAAAGAATAGACATTGGAGCTGTCTCCAGTAATTATGGATAACCGGAGTTGGAAGAGTCTTTCAGCTTCAGGTGAATATAAATTGAATTATCTTTAACTGGTCCAACATAATATTATCTTTCTCCTTAAGAAGAAAAGAGACAAAGATAGTCTCTCTCTGTATAGAGAGAAAAACAGACCAAGGACAGAAGAACAGACTATGAAATAACAAGTTGTTCTAGAATGTGACCCGACAAAAGGGCGAATGACAAAACCGCGCCGACTAAACCGCGTCACTAAAACTGCGATGTCATCAACGCGCCGACAACAGCGCGCCGACAACAGTGCGCCGACAACAGCGCGCCGACAGAAGCGTGATTTAAGTTAAGGTAAGGGTTAGGTTTAGGTTTAGGTTTAGGTTTAGGTTTAGGGTTAGGGTTAGGTTTAGGGTTAGGGTTACAGCGCGCTTCTGTCGGCGCGCTGTTGTCGGCGCACTTCAGTCGGCGCACTGTTGTCGGCGCA